GAGGCATGTGGGAAACCAGATGTCTCTGCCTGTGCCCTCGTGTCCTTGAGTGTCTCTCTGCGCCGTATGGACAGCCCGCTGTGTAACGAGTGTCCTGAGGGTGATGGGGTTTCAGGGGCGGCCTGGAGACCAGTGAGTGGCGCTCCAGAATGAAGGAAAGAGGGGAACAGAAATCGAGCACGGAGGAAGAGCGAGGGAAAAAAGGGAGGTGGGGGCGAGAAAAAGGAGGATTCCTGTCCGAGTCGGGAGTCGAAAGTGGGCGACTGAGAGGGAGGATTAAAGGAAGAACTGCAGTGCTGTTTTCAGATTTCTTGTCGGCATCGACGAGTGCATTTCAAAGCACACTGAAAGCAAAATGTGCACAGTAACGTGTAAAACCATTACATCACAGAATAGATGAAATTTCCGTATTCTGTGATTCCGAACGAGGCAACAAAACTTCTGGTCAGGTTGCGCGTCCCTGGGACATTGCAAACAAGCAGGCAGGTGAATACATCTCCTTTACTCCAGCAGACATATTGCTTTAGATGTCGAGACGGTTTTGCTGGCAAACACTACTTGTGAACACGTCGGAACATTTCTGCGGTGAAATGTCTGCTGCCCATTTTTTATCACACGTTACACAGCACAGTATTTATTCGCTCGAACATCAGTCATCACAGTGACTAGTGAGCAGGAAGGGCCACAATTCGTGGGAATGCGAATGCGAGTTTGCGACATGACGATTTCCAGTACTTTCACAAAGTTCAATTAATTGAGGTTACCTTGAGATTTGTATTTTTGTTTCTAGAATTAATTAAGCTGCCAAGATTTAATGGCGAATCTGAGAAATTAGGACTGCAGTCCCCCTTTAAATCTGGAGAGAGTTGGGACGAGGGGGGACAAGAAGAGATCCGGACCACCTTTCTAGGAAAGGGGGAGGTGGACAGCTGGGGTAGGGGAGGAGAGCAAGAATCATTGGAAGAGTGGAAGAGGCAGAAGACGGGGCTCCAGTCTGTGCTGGGGGGAGGAGGAGGGAGCTGCAGAGAGAGAGGGACCTGAGAGGGTGGGAATCGCAGAACCAGCTGTGGGGAGAGAGCGGAACAGGGCTGCGTGCCCTTCATGCAGCTTCATTAAAGATGGAGCCTCGTGGTATTGAAGTGCCTGCTGGAATCCTCAAGGGTAAGAGGAAGGTGATGTGGTCTTGATCTGCGAGCAAAGGAAATTACTGATTGTGTGTGTGTGTGCGTGCGCGCGAGTGCTCGGTCAGGGGTATGCTGTGCGGGCCTGTATCGAAGAGAGGAAGTGTGTGTGTGTTGGAGCTGGGGGGGGGGGATGTATAAGCCTGCTAAAACATCTGGCAAACATCTGGAACGAGAGCTAAGTGGAATAAGAGAGCTGGCTCTCTGGGTCGGCTTTGGAACGAATCGTTTGGAAGAAATCGATCCCTGGCATATCGTGCGCCGAGCACAGGCGGGCCCAGAAAACCTGGTGCATACTTTTGCAAATCCATCAATTTTGTTTTGGAGCTGGCGGAGTGTTTTGGCCAGCCTCGAAGGCAGTGAGGGTGGATTATAATTTATCTGCAGGGCTGTGATAGAGGTCCGGTGGAGTTAGAACAAGTTCTCAGCAGTTTGTTTCCTGTGTGATCTTTCTCGTTGCACTTATTGGGGCGTTTTTGCCTCGGCACCCACATTGCCACTTCGGGTTTGTCGAGGAAATGCTATACGTCCTTTGCACCTTTCATGCTACAAGATTGAAGGACCTGCACATGGTTAAAATCGAAGCTATAAAAAGAATGAAAAATGAACATGTTAAAAGATGTTAATCAAATATATTAATGTGAAGATTAAAATAAGTCACAGTGGATGAATCTTTACTATGATCTGACAAAGAAGTTCTCAAACCCCAAGCAGTTAGATACCACTTGATTCAGTGTTTCAAAGCATCTCACTGGAAGCCAGTGCAGAGGTGACGGTACAGGAGTCGCATGTTTTTTTTTGCTTTGCACCTTTATGGCTGAGTTTTTTTTTACCAAATGTAGCCCAAGCAGTTTTCTTGACAGTGCCCAACAGTAGACTGATCTGGGTAATATGAGGCACAGATCAAAAAAGGCATCTTGTTCCGGCAGTGTTTCGTCAGTGATAAAATCATAGTTTTGCAATTTTAATGTGAGAGTCTGTTAAAAATAGATTGAAGTCTATGACGTGGCACATACAGTAAAAAGTCATCTGATTGCATTTTATTGTAGATGTTTTATGAGGTGAAAAGCAAGGCATTCGCCTCTGTAGGTCCTATTACCCCAGCGTGTGTCTGAAATAGATTTATAGATACTAATCAAGCTTCATATGCAAGTTTTGAAAGAATACCTCTCTTTTAGGATGAATCTGTATAAGGCTGTGGTCGTGTTTGGAACAAGAGATTTAAGGAAGGGTTTTATTTTGCGAAAGATGGTAATTCTAATGGCACCCAGTTAGGTATCTTCCTTTCCTTTCCCTCCAGGCAAGAAGAATTTGGAGCCATTTAAGAGATGAAAAACGCTTTGAGAATTCAGGCAAAGTGGGTGTTGCTAAGAGGGTTTTGGCACTGAGCAGTCATTTCTGTTCACAGATTGTGTTCACGGTTTGTCTTCCTTGGTTCTTTCTGATCGAGCTGACAGCCTTAAGAAATGAATGAGCAAGATGTCTCTGCGCACGCAGTTGGTGCAGCGTGGCTGAGCAGAGAGGATGCATTCACTGTTTGCAAAGAACTTTGGCAAGAGAAGAAAAAAACCCAGCCTACAATCAGGAAGGAATTTGTTCATTTTCGAGCATGGAGATTGATACATCTTCACTCTTTCTTTTTGTTTAATAAGAACAGTTATGAATAAGGGGCATTTAGTTCATCTAGCCTGTGGTGGTTGGTTAGTAGTTAATTGATCCCAGGATCTCATCCAGCCATTTCTTGAAAGAAGCAAGGGTATCGGCCTCAGGATGCTCCTGTTCCCTACTCCCACAACACTTTGTGCATTCTCAATGTGAAAAGCACTCTGATGCTCTCTGGTTTGTTTTGGCTGCCTTTGCTCGTGCCCTTGAGGATATTAAAAGCTTGTACTGGGTCCCCTCATTAGACTCTCAGTTCAGGACTAAAGAGGTTAATTTCCTTCCACCAACAAATAGTGAAAATTAACACTGCGCGCAGAGTCATTTAGTTCTAAACCTGTCACAAATATTTTAGTGCTAACCTTTTGTTCTTGGAGTCATTGTTAATATTTCTGGCCTTTTATTCAGTTATTTATTAATTAATGTCTCTCATTTATTTTTATTACTTTTAACCCAGTTGTTTTTTTTTGTAACTGAGTAACTGAGAATCTGAAGCTGTTTCTTGGGGACACCAGAGAATAATATTAATCCATTGCAGTACTTTAACCAGAATGCAAGGCCAAATAAATTCAAGGTAGCAGTACACTTAAATAAAACCTGTAAAGATGTCGGATACAGGGTTGCTACTGTTACACTTGAGGCCTTTCGTTTTTCATAATACCTCGCCAGTTCCAGCAGATCTGCCGATTCGCTCAAGATATCCGGGAAAGCGTGGAAGCTCCATGAGACTCGACCCAGGCGGCGCGCGCGGGGGCGTATCGTCACACTCCTGCCGAGCGGTTTCCGGAACGGGGGCAGGAGTCGCTCAGAAGGGGGTCCTAGTCGGCTCCCTACGCCTCATGCGACAGGATGGCGAGAGAATTTTAGGGTCTGTTTTTCTGTGCTATTCCTGTAAGCAGGCTGTGGCACATATGGTAAGAAGCAAGATCGTGGACAGTCTTGGTCTGGCGCGCCGCAGGCAAGACCTGGCTGTTCTGGCATTCAGTGAGAAAAATGCAGCCGCTGACGTTCTTGGGCTAAAGGGGAACGTCTTTACTGTTCCTTAATGCCAGCAGCCACATCACCCTGCAGCTCACAGCTGGCAGCCCACTGGAGCTCAGCAGGTGTGAGCCTGGCCAGTACCTGGATGAGAGACCTCCTGGGAAAAACTAAGGTTGCTGCTGGAAGAGGTGTTAGTGGGACCAGTAGGGGGCGCTCACTCTGCGGTCCGTGTGTGTCCTAATGCCCCAGTATAGTAACGGGGACACTATACTCTTAAAAGGCTGTTTCTCATCCTTCCCCACCCCCACATCTGTCTGCCTCCCTCGCTCGTTCCTTTCAAGTCCCCTGAATGACGATCAGATGATAAACAGAATCGACAGGTGGAATTGCCAAAAGAAATCCACGGACCTGGTTTTGGTAACGTCGATTTGCTTCTTCACATCCCTACACGTAGCAGGACTTCCTCTCCCCACGCAGGGGATGCAGAAATCTGCTCATTAATTCATTTGTATTGAAAATGGTAGCTCGTCATTCCATATCGGCTCTTAACTTACAGTAGACCAGCTGCTTGTTGTCTTGATGAGATCAATTTAACAGCTGCTTCCACTTCTTAGATGGAGGCACCAGTGATGAGACTTGCAACACCTGCGCAGACACTTGTCACCCCGGATCAGGAGTAGACACCCCTGGGTTAAATGATGGGGGCAGTAAAAGTTATTTTATTGGCCATTTGTGTGTACTGGCCTTACGGCTACCCTATGAAGCAAGTTTCTTAGTACTGGTTTCTATATTCCTGTGTCTCTTAATTGTGCCTCTGCTTTGGCCTGCAATGTCTCCCAGACAACCACTGTACATGTTTTATGTTTGTGCTTTTTCCCCGTCAGTCAAGTGATTGTGGGTCGTGTATGTTGTTGTGCAGCTTACAGCTCATTTCCAGTTTTTCTTCATTCAGATCTCTTTTGTCACTTGCACTTTGTCACCACTGCTCTGTCTCCCGGGTTTCGCTAATAGAGTTGTGAGATATTTCCGAGATGTGCATTAGGAGTTGTGGTGTTTGCTTGGATTTAAAATGCTCTACCACGAAAGTCTGGCTTGTTTTCTTCAGGGAATTATCAGCATTCCTGACAATTTGATCCTGTAAATTATTAATCCGGTGTGAGAGGGTTCAGTGTGTTCTTCGAATCTGTATGGAGCAAGTTTTCGTTGGGGTGGGAGGCTGGGGTCTCCAGTCTGACTCCGTGTACCAGGGGGCGAGGGAACCCAGAAGCCACGGGATTAAATACCTGTCCTTGTCACACACCTGCTAGAAAAGATTTCTTTTGGGCCACAGCTGCACAGACGAAGAGAGTGACCACCGGCTGTAGAGTCTTCAACCGATTTGCTGTTCTGATCGCCAGCTTCCGGAAACGCCAACATGCCAGCCGAGCGCTGGCTAAAACATGTGCCAATAATTTGAAATGATTTGCTGAAGGCGGTAATCCGATTCTTATCGAAACCGTTCTAGATGACTGACGAAATGACAAAAGAAAAAACATCTAATGTAGTCTCGTGCATTTTTTGTATGCCACGGCTGGGATGACCCTATTCAGATTTGGCGTACACTCGCACGCGATTTACAACGTTTTATTTCCTTTTAAAAACAAACGTGGAACTAACACATCTCGGGAATCTTTCACAGTGTGGATTTGAGTCTTTTCACTTGTCAGAGGTGAGTGCTTTTCCAAATAGCCACTCTCTGTGTACTTTTAATTTGTTGAGGTTTGTGCTGCTTTTTGTTCTCTAAGCTTCCACAAACAGGCTTTGGACAGCACCCTCGCTAGTACAGGAGATCTGCTCTCCCTTGCAGGTGTGTCAGCTCCTCAGATCCTTGCCAATAAAGGTATACGAGCAGATGTTTGCTTGACTTACTCTCTTGTGGTATCGCTGAAGCAAGGCTGATTTGTTGTATGAGGGCTCACTGAAACCCCTTTCCCCAAAGAAGAGTTCCAACAGGCACATGTTCTGAGATTCACATTCAGTTTTTCACAGGCGGGAGTAGCGATTGATGAATGTGAGTGATTATTGATAATGATGAGTGATTGCTGACCAAGTGCCCAGACTCCTGGCACCTAAGCAAAACCAAAAAAACACACACCTTTGCACAGGAAGGCAGGTCAGGGTAGGCTGTTGTATAGAAGCACTTGCACAGCTCCACAGGTTGCGCACAAGACCCAAGGAGCTTTGGGTGAAATGCAAGCCCAGCGAGGCGTTCGCCTTTGTCTGCTTTTGAGAGATTCTCGGCTTCTCCTTTCGTGCCGGCTTTGTCTTGACTGCCACGTCGGATGCTCACAAAACGCCTACGGTAATTTCTTCAAATCGAGTCGGGAGTGTTTCAGGAGGAAGTCTGGTTCCGCAGGCAGGCGTGAAAAGCAAATGATAAGCCCATAAGAAAACAATGCAGACATCCAATCTGAGGTATGACAGACGAAGCACAAAAGCAAACTTGAGGATAAAAAAAAGGGTTGTGTGTTTCTCACTGCTCCTCGCTCAATCACGATTGACCACCCTTTCTCCCGAAGAGTGAATGCGCTTCACTGACATCACCATTATGTTGGTACTGATGAGGCCTAGGCTACTCCTTTTTATGTACTTCTCCTAAGTTTTCACCAACTTTCATGCAAACTGACCCTTTAGTGCAGGACTAAGGCAGTTCAGGATTGATTTTAAAGGACCGGATTGTTAGATTGCATCTGATAGCAAAATCACCGAGTCGGTTATATTGCTGCCTCTAATTCTCATTTTAATTTCTACGTTCCTAGCCTTCTTAGAAATAAAGTAGGTCATGGTTTGTCATTTTGGTCCAAGCAGCTCATTAAAACCGAGTTTTTTCCTCCAGTGTCCCACTATTTAATTTCATGTTTGTTTTGCATTGTGTCCAACTGTTGTTCGATTTTCTGCTCGCCTCCAGTCGCTTGTGCACAGATTTGCTGTCCTAATTAATTTAACTTCAAGCAGTGTGCGTTTTCCTCTGAGAAAACATTTGTGGAATGTGCTGCACTTTTTACTTTGCTTCTGTCTTGTTGCCGGCTTTGTTGTATGACATAGAAGGCTGATTTATGAGAATACTTCAAGATTTTCTCCTTTATTAAGATTTGCCGAGATTGCCTGCACCGACTGGTCATTGGCATCTGTTTTTGAGCTCTAGCCATGAAGCAGATTGGAAACAGAGCGTTTATGACCTTATATGTCAAACACTTGTGTGGAAATCAGTATTCATGACTTGGTATAAGAAGATGCAGCATGGCAACCCTGGCCTTTCTGCACAGGGGATCCTTCTGTGTGGAGTTTGCACGTGTGTGTTCAGTTTATTTTGGACTTCCTTTAATCTCCCCAAGGTAGGCTGGCTCAGTTAAGTGGTGTAGTATATGGTAAATGGTATGTGTGTTCTCTGTGTGTTTGCATGGGTTTCCTTTCAGCTGTTCCAGTGTCTGACCATAGTCCAAAAACTGTGTAGGCTAATTGGGTGCTAGGATAACTGGCTTCTGGGAAAGTCTCTGTGTGTCTGTAAAGGTCTGACTTCCTGCCCAGGATGTACCCGCCTTGCACCCGTTGCATGCTGGGATAGGTTTTCCGGCTCTCCCTCGATGCTGAATTTGAAGAAGTGGTTAGAAGATGGATGTATTGGTGTCTCTAGACTGACCGGGTGTTCTGAGATGGCTTTCTGTTGATGGATAGATTGATGGATTACTGGTTTTTACACTGTTTCACCCTGTGTTTTTTTTCTAAACCAGTTATCCTTGCAGTATCTGTAATTATCTAGTGCTTTGATGCTGTGAAGTAAGTTAGGGAGAGTTGCTCTTTCAGGACTCAGGTGATCTGTGTTTGGCTCCAACAGGACGAAAGTGAAGATTATGTGAAGTTATGCCATGATGTTTCCTGAAGACAGCGTGTTAAATATGCAGGAATTTGAGCTCAACATCAGCCGTGCCATTCTCCGTCAGAATACAGAAAATGCACAGTAAAACATTATTAAATGCCAAGATAAGTTGGCCTGTTACTGTGCAGAAATGAACAAGGTTTTGTTTTCCGTGCCCCTACAGCACTTGAATCCCTCCAGCAGAAAAGGGAAGTTTACCCACCTGTGAAGGTGTTTTGTTAGACCTTTCAGCCCATTTTAAATGACCCTCGTTAGCTAAATGAAAATGATTTGCTGAAATTTGGAAAGGGCTTTAGTCTTTGTTTATGCAGGTGATGCAGTTTAAAGGCATACATAAAACCTGTAAAAACTGTCAGAAGAAAGAAGGCCTGTGATAAGTAGTTAATCATTTGCAGCATTCAGTGCTGCCAGTGCCTTGCTGTTATGACCTAGTACAGAGTGCTGTTCTGTAAAAACTACCTGCGATGTTTTGTAAATGTAATCATTACCCTCGGTTTAATGGATCAGACCATGTGTAACGCATGATGCCAAACCATAGGTGTTGGTGTTCTCCTTTTTCTGCTTTGCATTGTGACACAGGTGTTGCCTTATTCATTCTGTCTGCTACATCCAGTTCAGGCTCAGATGGCCACATGCCACCATGCTGCCTGTTTTGCCTTTGTGTTAATTTTGTTCTTTTTTAAATCCCCCTGGGATCTATACACCTGTACAGGTGTTTCACATTGTGACACTGCCTGAGACTTTAAAGTGCTCGTGGAACCCCAGCTTGGCCCTGTAGTACCCATTGAAACCATACCTGGAAAAAAACCAGGTGTTTTATGTAGGTCATTCCTTCTTTGAATCCTGCAGTTTGCAGTGTCCTCTGTGTGACTGCAGTTGTTCTAGTTTAGATCATTCTTTATGATAACTTTTTTTTTTTACTGTGCATTTTCTCCAAAAATCCTGCTAGTGTCTGGAAATTTGAGCAGTTTGCTGCGGCAGCCAGATCAGCTTGTGCTTTTCATCTAGCTCGGCTGTCAGCTGTGGTGGAAATCGGCTTCACACCACCTTTCTCTCTCTCTCTCTCTCTCTCTCTCTCTCTCTCTCTGGCTGCTATCGCCAGATTCCACACATTGGAATTCAGGTGTCATGGGACCATATGGGGTCATTGCCTTGGAATTTCTGAAGATCGCCCCCTGCTGGTGCACCACTTGCAACTGCAACTTCTTTTTATTTCCTGAATACCTCCCACCCAAGACTCGTCGCCGGAGCAGGCTGGCTGAACTGCTTATGCCTGATTAGAACTGGCATCAGGCTGCTGTAGCTGCTGTCTTGTTTAGCATGATGACTTGCCGCAGGCTTTAACTCACTGGGCTTCTTGTTTCCATGGGCTGTAGTGGCTTGGTCAACAGTGAAATATCTCTTAAAGCAGAAAGAAGGAAGGAGGCCACAGGCAAGGCATGCAAAACACTGTCAAACAGGCAAATGTAGCTCATTCAACGGGGTGAAGGTGTGGCAGAAATGTTTGGTTTGGGGCACCAGAGCCACACTAAAAAGTGGAATGTTGATCCAGTTTCCTGAAACCAAATATGGCTGTCCTGTCACAGACGCAGTGCAGGTGGTTTGTCCTGCAATGTTGCTGAGAAAACAAAATAAGTTTTTGGCTAGTTTAAAATTAAAAATGGTTATATGATGGTTGATCCAATAGTATAAGGCCATGAGAGGAGATCACTTTATTGGCCATATACAATTTCTTGTATTAGGAATTTGTCTTTTCGCATACCCCAGCTTGCTCTCCATGAGACACAGACCTCTGGAGCAGTTGGGGTGAAGGGCCTTGCTCAGGGGCCCAACAGAGTAGGATTCATTTTGCCATTTCTTTATAGAAAGACATTTTGTACAAGAGAGTTTGTGTCAAGGCTAAATAATACCTCAATGGGCTATTATGTAGATTGGATATTGGAATGCTCTGGAAAATTTCAGTAATATTTTTGTCTTGTGAGGCAGTTATATAGTTCTAACAATCTGTGAATTGTCTTCAAATATTTTACAGTAGGGAGGGGACGTTACCTCCTTGTACTCTATAAAGTTGCGTTGATCCTTGTAAGCTTTTAGATGTATAGATATTTCACAGATCTAAACTTGCAGGACTGGTCAAATCACCATCTTCTGTTTGTCCCCCATAAGTTATGACCTAGTGATCCAACAGAGTGTTTTCAACAAATCAGCATGGAAACACTCTGGGTATCTGTAAGATCCATCTGGGAAATGGTAAGAGTTAGCTCTTTAGTTGAAATCAGGAAGGTAGCTCCGATTTCTGCATGACTTAACGGACCAATTTACTCACTTAACTCGTCAGTGTGCAATTGCATCTTGCCTTGAGCACGGAACGCTTTTTTATAGGATTGTCTACCCCTGATCTGTTCAATAATAATGACAACAAATGGTCATAGATTTACTCTAATCGAGACTTTTTTTTTTAATTTTCTGTTTCCCAGACTTGAGTGTCTGCAGCCCAACCCTCTTTTCACCGCAGTACGTCTCCAGCGTTTTGCTCGATTTGGCGATTCGGACCATGGGAAAATAACCGGTCTCCCCCCGCCAACCCCCGCTGACTCAGGAGCGCCACCTCTGGCCGGCGAAGGCGTTTCATGCCGACGAGCCGCCGCCGCCGCCACCCCCTCGCAGGGCAGGGCTCCGTCTGTGAAGCGCTGGTGAGGCACGGGTCTCTGGGATCTCTCCGCAACCCAGGGAGAAGGAAGGGGCGGGTGTGACGTCCTTGCCTTCCTGCCCCCGGTCAGTGCCTTTGGGAAGACGGCATGGAGCCACTGGCGTGAGCTGCTAGGGAATTCATGCGGACTGCAGACGCCCGCGCCCAAGCCGTGGGGGAGTCTTCCGAACGCAGGGCAGCCTCGCTCCGAAACGCAGCCCCTCGCGCCCGACCCGCACCATGATGAGCTCGAAGCTGCGCTACCTGGTGATGTTCCTAGGCGTCCAGCTGGTGGTCATGGCGCTGCTCTACCGGGAAGGCTACCAGAAACGCGTGGCCTACTTCTTCCGCATCCTGCGGAAGGGGGAGGTGTCCCAGGCCACGACGGTGATGCAGCCGGCCACCCACAACGTGACCGACCCCCGCTTCAGGGACATCTACGCCAACCTGAGCCTCCAGGCCAAGTCCACAGTCAAAGAGGAGCTCCTGCCCTACTGTCCCACGGAGTCTCCTCTCATCAGTGAGTCTTGGGCGGAACCTCAGGGAGGAGGGAGTTATGGGGGAGCCAGACGGGGAAGTGGGGGAGAAATGGAGAGATTCTAAAAGTTCTAGTCGAGTTATAATAATTACCATCATCATTTTCACTACTCTTACATAGTGCTTTTCTGGACACTGCGCTCAAAGTGCTTTACAGGTCACGGGGGTCCCCTCCACCACCACCAGTGTGTCCCCCCCACCTGGATGATGC